CTTCTTCTTTTCTTCTTCTTCTCTTCAACACCCATATAAAACAGAACTGTAACAGATTTACTTTTCTTTCAACATTTATTTGAACAGCAAGTGGAGGCAAAAGTGACTGCACCCAAAACAATAAACCTGCTAGCTAACTAGCTCTAAACTCAGTACAGAATGTGGGCAACACGTTCTTCTCCACAGCCGCGCCCTCTGAGTCAGACGTCACTTCCCCCTTTTCTATCCTAGGGTACAGCCGTACAGCCCCCCCCCCCCCGGCCCCCCCCTCTTCCCCTATGCAAGCCCCTCCCTCTGAACCCAGGGCTCGCTACAATACTGTATACTGTATACACCAAACTATACAAAACGCCTTTACGCCTTGGAGCTTGTTTATCCATCTGTAAGCAACTGCCAGCTAGGTCTCTCAGTCACTCACTCCTGATCGTTCACTGCACAGTGACAGCTGCTACGGGCCTGATGTGTGAAATTGAAACTGATAGAACAAAGGTAGCCTATCGGCCCAGCCCAGTGGGCCACACCTCACTGGGCTGGGCTGGGCCGGAACACTTACAAATGTGGGCCGGTAGGATTCAGGCAGGATTTTTTCTTTTTTGGCCCTCCGGTCCAGACACAGCACCGGCCCACCGGGGAAACTCCCGGTATTCCCAATGGCCAGTGCGCCCCTGCTACTAACTGCAATGAAATCAAATTCCAGAGGAGCTGAACATCTAATTAATAATAGAGATGCTATTACGGGTGGCTACATTTCAAATGAGTCATTTCTGTAATGTAGTCAGGGCCTTCTGTGAGGTTAATTGAGACCTTGACAGCACTTAAGTCTCTGCTGCGTGTGTGTGTCTTGTCTTGTCTTACCTCTGGCTACTGCGTCGACTCTCGGGCTTCTATGGATAGAGATTTGATCTGAGTGAAAAGCGCACAACGATAGTCCACGTGTGTATGTGCCGGTAATCACAAAAGTGCTACCACTCGAGCGAGAGGATGAGATGGAGATGCAAAGTAGATGTAAAAGGAGAAACGGATGTACAGCAATGAGAGCATTTTCAACAGAGCTTAAGTGTTTTCAGAGAAGGAAATAAAAGAGGCATTTCTTGCATTAATTCACGTTTCTTGAAAGTCGAGGCTGCAGTGTATCCTATTTTCTCTCCTGGGAAACTAGAAGAAAGGCTTTTCAGTGTGGAAGAGCAGCATTGACTTCCTGGGCAAAAGAGATACAGGGAATGACCTAACCCAATATGCGAGGAAATTGTGTCAAATGTTGGAGAACACATTATTACATTCCTGGCTTTGCCAATTAGTTTTCGTACCTCCTACATTTAAGAATAAAAATGATATAAAGAATGAAGAATTTATGAAGGAACATTGTTGGCACCGTGACCAGACTGCCGCGTGCAACAGTGCAAACGGTCCCCCCCCTCCCCTCCTCCTCTCCTGTCACTCCCTGATCCCCTCCAGCTTTATCTCCTCCTCTCAGCCTTCTATTCATTAAACAGACGTAAACAAAAGAAAGTTATTTTGCATGCGGCTCCATCTCACTGAGCCCATGGAAGCAATCACAAGCTGTTTGTTGCTTACCGTTAAACAGCCCGTACTTTGGGAGGGGGGCCCAACTTAATACATAATTGAAAATGGTTGCTGTGGTCCATTTGCCACGCTTTTGTTCTTCCTACATCAGCATCGCAGGCACCGCCAGAAGGCTGCTCTTGGGGGATTTGCTTTGTCTTCCTCCGTGTCATTGTTCCTCTTCATCTCTTTCCTCTTCCTCCTGTGATGCCTTTTTCGAAAACAATTCACACTTCAGTTGAGATTGCTCTAAATTTCAATTTCAGCCAAAATGCTCTTTTAAGTAGCTGTCTCTGTATTGATGCCATTTCGTCCCTCACTTCCTCTTTTTCCTCTACATGTGAAATGTGTTTTTCTTTTATACAAGTGCATGCACTCATAGTATGTGTCTACGTTTTCCTCAAAGGGAGCTATAGCATTCCCTTTAATGTTCACGCTGTATAGCAGTTAGTGTCATTTAACAAAGCACTCTTCTGCCTCTCACTTTTCCTTTTGCTTTACCTTTTCATGTGACTTCCAGGCAGCAGTTTTTCCTTTTCTTGGCATTAATAAAATAGTGTATCAACTTTTCCTCATGTAGGCTACCACACCTTGACCTTTCCATGGTCATATCTCAGTACAAAGTGCACAGCTATGACAAGGACACACTATTATCCATCTCCACTATCCTCTCACCTCAGATTGCTCCTATGGCAAACTCACTCGCTCATGAAATGTGGCTTTCAATCTGTCTGCCAGCTGACCAGCCCCCCGTCCAGCTCCAGCCTTCATCCCCGGGGAAATGCACTGAGGTCTAGGAGCTATCCTCCTGTAATGGAACTTCAGAATAAACTAGATTTGATGACCCCCCCCTCTCTCCTTCCTGATTCAGCCCTAAACCTCATTACCTGAGGCAGGATCTTCAATCTGGCCCCCCAGGGAAACAGAGGTGCGCAGGGGCAAATGAACACAGGAAGTTGAGTTTCACTTCATATCACAGTTCATGTTGGAAAACCAGTAGATTTGTGTAGCCAATGAGTGTTGAAGAGTTTTTCAAGAGATATGCCATTCTTATGGGCATCTGCACCAACTATTTCAGCATTTGTTGTAACCACTCTTTGTATTATTTTATATAAATCGATATAACATTGGGGGTCATTAATATAGTACAAGACATGGGGAAATATATGATATGATCCAAATGATAAAAATAAAAACAATACATAATACACTGTACAGTATGTAAATGTTATTACTGTATAGGGGGCAATAAGGATAACTAGATCTCATGCTCAGTGGCTCCAGTGTTCACACTCCTGTGATTGAGGTGTCACTGCTGTGATTTTGTTGCAGTGGTACTTCATGTTGTGACAGCGGCAGGTGTTCCTTCGCTTCCTGACTGATGCACTGTGTCCTCTCCTGCTGCTGTTAGGCTTCTGTTTGACACATGTCCATTGTACGAACTCACTGTTTTGACTGGTAGTATGTGAAGGCGCTCCCTGCAGTGGAAAGAGGCCATATGCTGCAGACAGACTGACAGGCATTAGCAAAGTTGTCAACACCTATTCTTCCCTTTCTGTTCGACGTTCATGCTCCCCCTATTATTTGCTCTCTGTTTTCTCTCATACCGTCTCAAGAGCTCTCATACGGTTCTATGCTGTGCCTTTCATGTATTTGTTAAGTGAAAGAAGTGTTATTTTTGCCCCGTGAATTTTTCATGATGCGGACATTTCTTGCAAGCATTAGAGCCGCAGCAACACTTCATGTTGTAACACTGGAATTAATAACCACAGCTAATCGGTTTCATCTCAAAATATGTGACCCATGAGATCCTGTGAGCAATACCAGTGTTCATAAGTTAATCTGCTCAGAGACCCTATTTGGCTTTTAATAGCTGGAATATGGCTTTTTAACACTACAAGACATAATATTGCTCTAATCCTGCATTCATAGAGTTTTTCTTTTACTTACCTTTCCTTTTCTTCCTCTCTTCTTTTTCCTCCAGGTAAGGAAGAGTCAGTAGCCACCTTCAAGGGCAACGAGTTCTTCTGCTACGACCTGTCGCTGACGCCCATCCAGAGCAGCACCGACGAGATCACGCTGTCCTTCCGCACGCTGCAGCGCAACGGCCTCATGCTGCACACCGGCAAATCGGCAGACTACGTGAACCTGTCCCTGAAGAGCGGCGCCGTTTGGCTGGTCATCAACCTGGGCTCGGGGGCGTTCGAGGCCCTGGTGGAGCCCGTCAACGGCAAGTTCAACGACAACACCTGGCACGATGTGCGCGTCACCCGCAACCTGCGCCAGGTAAACACTGCCCGTGTAATCCAGGGCCACCGCAGTTGGAGTGGTGCCTCTGTCCGCCACACAACTTATCTTTGCTGCTTCCTTTGACTCTTCTTTACTCTCTCTTTTCTCTCTCACAGAGCTCACAGTCTGCTGGTCTCGTCTTTCTTCTGTCCTCTACTTTTGATTGCTAGCCATCTTAACACAACATTTGTCTTTTTCTAGGTTGATGTTGAACAGAACGCTGGTGCTGTTTGTGTCTGTCTTTAATTGGCTTCATGTTATTCTATAAAATGACCAAAGATCTATCTCACTTTCAATTCCAAAGGTCACTCAAAAGCAAATCATTGAAGATACAACACAGTGCAAGTGAACATGATACTAAAATCCCAATCAGAGTGAGTAAATATGCATCATGTTGCAATCAAAGACACATCTGCACATTTAGAGTGCTACCCAGGACGTTGTTTTGTATTGTTATTAATGAGCAAGTGGGGAAAGTGCTCTCCTCAGTATGTATGCACATAATGTACTCAGCTACACAAATGGAATGCACCCTAATATATCAAAGGTGACAATGCACTTAAACCCTTTCTGAACAAATTACCTAACACATCTTTACAGACCTTTAGCTAATGGAAAACCAAAGAGCCCCAGCAACCTGCATGTCTGTGTGTGACTTTCAGTGTTCCTCTGCTTCTTCCAAGTTTAATTGTGTACACTTACTAAGTACACACATACAGTGCACACTCGGCATGTTTGAGACTCTTTGGATGCACCAGGTCATCAATTGGCAGTTGCAGATACCAGCAGTGAGATACAATCAATTTCACTTTCACTTGCCGTGCTTACTTATCACATGTGTTGTAGTAATTCTAATTGGAATGAATGGCTTGTCAGACCTAATAACACCAATTGTAAGTTGCAGCAAATGCAAAAGGGCCTGATGTGAATGCATTAACACAAAGTGTAACTTCTTTGTGTGAGCCTGCAAAAACATCCTAAGAAAGAGGATGGGGGTTTTCAAACTGTTGGACCTTAAGAGACTAAAGAAGGAATACAAAGTGGTTTTTAATGTGAATTAAGTGCTGTTAAATTATAGGGTGAAATGACCATGCCGACTAGACATCATAATGTCTATCATAATGCAATAATATGAGACATTTCAGTGTGGTAACTTAATGCATCATCACAGGGATCAAAATGTTATGCTTTAGAGCTCGGTGTGATCAGCGGAGTGAGACTAGCTTAATGAATTTGGGAGGCCAACACAGTTTTAAAGATTTACAGCAGGAGCCAACCCACCTACCAACTGCAGCATTAGACATTGAGACACTATTATCTGCCTTGTCTGTCTACCCATCTTATACCTATACTTTTTTAACTAAATGATTCCTATCCTTTTTTATTAAATACAGCTTTGAATATAATTGTGTCTATGACGTGTATTGTTTAGAGCTTATGTAGAGTTAAATCACTTGATCGTAAACTAACATACAAGCACCTGTTGCTCACATAAAAACAGCAGGCACATCGTGTAGTGTTATGTTAATCTCACTTTGTCCTCGATCTTCATATGAAAACCTAATGTAGCTGAGTAGATATATAGCGCCTGCACTCAGTCCATGCCTTGAACTAGTACTAACTATGGTTTGAGCTTCCCAGCAATCTCCATTAACTCGCATAATAGCTTGAATCCTCAGTGGATCACTATAATTGACATAACAGGTGGCCTAAGTGTTAAAGAGCTCTCTAGATTCACACCAGGCCATCCCCGCCGAGAGACAAAAGGACAGGGGTATCGATGATATTGACCACCTCTGACCCTGTGTGTACTGCCGCGCTGATACCTAGCTGATCAATACATACTCAACTCAGACATTTAAGTGCATTCACTAAATAAGTGTATCATCTTTTAGACTATAAAATAAATGATTATAAGTCTCTTTTTGGTTTTATATATATTTATAGAAGTACATTTATATTTAAAAAATCTTAATAGAAAATGCTTGTTATTGGTATTATTTAGTGTCACCAGGGGAGCTATATGTTACATATTTTAACAACGATCAATAACACTTAAAATTAGACAACACTGTTTGGATCATCATTCAAAATGTATGCTGGTGCAGAATAAATGTTTACTGCATGTGTACATTACTGCACATTTCTAAACTTTCATTTACATTGAAACAATTGAACACAATATATTTCTCTTGAACATGATATTCTAAAAGCTGCAAATAGTGTCTATTACATTAGCAAGGCACCGTAAGCCTCATGCTTTATGACAAAGGTCAATCATATCTAGACTAAAGAACAATCGTTTGTTTCTGTGTTTGTTTTACATAATCAAGAGATGCATATCATATTTGACATCATTTATACTCTGTGCATTTTATGCAAAAAAATGTATTTTGTTGAATGACTGCAAAGGGTGGACAAAATAATGAACACTAACTATACAAACTTCGCCTTTAAAAACACCTTGCATTCAAATGTACACTTCCATGTCAGTCTAACCAAAACTAACCAATATAAGCTGGGCAAAGAATGTATACAATGCTAGGCTGCTCATTTCAATTGTATCGTACTTTGCTAACATTTTGTCCACATTCTGTTTTCAGTGTACTATTAATTATCTAATTTACAAATGCAAATGCTATGCAAGTCCATCCACACAAACACACCATTGTTGTTTTCCGCTGGTCTTCCCACTGGAGCTAACATGATATCCTGCATTACAAGTAGCCCGCCATCTAAAAGACGAGCGTTAGATTCCAGCTGCGGCTATCGTAGTGGTCTCAACAGTCTCATCCACTCTCTGTCTGTTGTTCTTAATGGGTCTTGCAACGTCATACATATCTACAGCTGCATCAGTAAGCTCCAAAATAAGTAAAGCCTGTGAGCCAGTCTCCCTCACCCACTCTCTCCCCTCTCTCTCTGTGTGTATTTTCCATCCTTTCTCCACAAAACCTATGAATTTGTCAGCTTTGTGTAGGATAAAATGAAGCAGACAGAATTAGGTGAGGTGATAGGGACTCTCCGCCAAGACAGAGGAGAAGGGGGAGGAGGCGGGAGAAATGCTGTATTCCTAACAGCTTCAGAGCTCCCCTTGGTGGCATCTGGCAGTACTGCTCCAAGAGAGTGGCTAATCTCTACAGAGCACAGATGATAGGCAGGCAAGGACACACGCCTTGACCTCTCATCACTGCAACTCTCTCCCCACAATTCACGCACATTGTACCCCACCCAATGCACATATTGGTTTGTATAAGGAGCAAGGGATCCCTCGCTCACATCCTCCCTCCCTTTGGCATGCTGATCTACTGTCACAGACATCTTGTCGAGTTCAGCACTGATGACCATCGTCCTCTGGGAGGCAAAGGGCAAATGCAGAAAGGCGTAGGGAAAAGACAAAGCTGGAATGTCAGGGTGTCTTGTGGTGGAAATGATATATGTATCTGATACACTGCACTAAAATAGAACACATTGTGGAAGTAGGTCGAATATATATATATATATATATATATATATAAGTGTGCGATGGAATACAAGTCAGCATAAATCTAGCAGTTAAAGCAATCCAAGCACAATTCATACTTTAAATAAGAAAGTCTCATTCTTCATTGTGCTGTATGGTCTGTGAGTATTGATTTTGGGATAACTTTTAGCTTTGACAACTAGAAATACCAGCCACAAGTCTATTGAGAGTACTTTGAACATCAACTAAAACCACTGGCGCCTGTGTTATTATGTTCCTACCCATTACTGTCATTACAATATTTCAAAGTCAATCAATCACTTTGCGTGTGTGTGTATTGCAGAGAGCAGCAGAGCAAGTGCAGCTCAGGTGAGGTGGATGTTCTGTGGGAGTCTTGATGAATGTCTGATAGTTAATGCATTGCCTTCAAACATTAGATTTGCATACACGTTCTAATAGCATTGCCAGCAGTAAGATGGGGACATCAAATGAAAGATGTGAGAGCAGCCAGCAGATGTTTTTATCAGCTTCCTCTCCTCATGCATAATCACTATTCCCATGGCATTAAAGTGCAACCAGCAAATAGAGCAACTGTTCATTGACTGGAACCCAGATTAGTTACGACATGGATGTAGAGTTACTGATGTAGTTCTAGTCAGAAGCAGGAGCAGAGTGCCATTAATTGTGTTCACAGCTATGACTACTGCATCATGGGGTTAAACATTTGTAATCTGTCATTTACTATAGTGTAGCTTTTGTTATGGTATTTGTGTGACATTTACAGAATGCAAAAAAAGTGTTTTGTTCATATTATAGATATTCCATGGCGTACAAATACTGATGGATATCGTGCTTCCAATTGACTGGACATATAGAAATACACCAATGTAAAGTAAGGCTAACTTTCCATGTATGAATGGCCTCACATCACAGCGGCCTGTCTGCATGCTTAACAGGCACTAGCATCCCAACGGACACCACAGGCAGTCAGAGGAAACATGAGACACACACTGGCAGAGAAGAGGAAGTGCGCGCTTGTATGTCTGCATTTGTGTGTGTTCATCAGAGGAAGAGAGAGTGAGATGATGATTGTGTGCACAACAGAGAGTGGGAAATGAAATGCAGTGCTGCGATTTGAGACTAAAGGAATATCAGAGGAGTGGGAGGATGGGGGGAGCACTGAAAGAGAGACAGCGTTTTGTTTTACTAAGGGAAGAAAAAACGGAAGCACGCTTTCTTTTGTATTCCCCAATGTCACTTTACAACCAGAAGATTCTACATCGACTGTGTCACAGAACTGGGCCAGAAGCTTAGCCAACGTCAAAAGAGAGAGACCTCTGAACTCAATATCTGTCTTTTTTATATTCCCTTTTTCTGTGTCACTGTCACCCTTTCCTCCCTTTGTTCTCTCACTTACAGTATAATCAGTCCTCATGTCTCTGGCTGTCCCTCTCCTTCTGTCTACCTTGACATTCTTTACCCCAGCCATTCCCATCTCTTTTCATATAAGTGGACCTTGGATGCAGCTATTAGATTG